ATTTTGATTTTTAAAACTTGTTTTCAATTATTCTTATCATTTATTAATGCATGTATATATAACATATGCAAAATGTATTAATTTGTTTTCAAGAGCATCAAGTAGCAGTGTATATAAGAAGAACAGTATTTCTCCTCCCAAAGGTTCCCATAGAGCCAGAGTAGTTTTGGACAACGTTTCACAAGAAACTAAGGCATTAATCAGCCGAAACGAACCTCCCAGATTGGACAAAAGTTTGTTATCAATAAACGATGACGACGACTTGTCAGACTTCCAAAAGATCGACGTTGGCTACATTGATGAAGGAACTTAATGTTCGGTAAGTGTTGTACAAAAAAACATATTTTGTTTTTTATGTCTCCTTGACAGTAAAATACAAAACTAAAAAAATCCGTAAAATGTTCATACACAAAAATAGTTTAGAGAAAAAAGCAATCGAATATGTTGAGTAGGAGGAAGGAAAAAATGTGGATAAATGACCAATGTATGGAAAGAGTGATTGAACCAGTGATTATTAACTGATAGTGATAGCGATTCGTTAATAAATGTAATTTGTATATTTACTGGATAATGACGAAGGACCTATATCCCTAAACATACTTATATAATTACTATGTTCATTTCTATGGCTCTATCCGGATAGACTTCAAAGTAGGTTATCCCAATCCTGTCCTGTCCAAGATTTTGACGTTATCAGTTTTGGTTTGACTTGTGGATTGACGAAATAAACGCTCAGGATTACACATGATTGGGATAATCCACTTTTAAGTCTATCCGGATAGAACCGTCGAAATGAACGTGGTAATGAATGCATGTAGATTCATTATTAGGTATTATATTAAAAAGATCCAGAATCCAATCTGAAAAAGAATTTAATTTTTGAGCCCTTTTCTTTTTTCCCATGTATTAGAATTATTTTTGTAATATAAAAAATATGTGAAGTTAACGAACCATAAACTGGGACAGCATAATATTTAATATATCAATGTAATAAACCTTATAGCAACTTGAAAGTAATGAAAAGATAGAACAGTGAAATTTAATTAAATGGTACCTCAACCGCCACTGGCGGTAACGCATTATCGGTTTTGCAGGTAGCTATGTGTAAATCGGGCTGCCCTGTCACTTGTTTTATTACTCCGTAGGTTCGTTGGATAGATTACAGGTACGTCACCTGTTTGGGTCCGCACTTTACCTCGGTACCTAGTTTATATTGCTTTGCCAGCAAGTATATGAGAGTCCAATGGTTGAGACTAATGTTTAATGCTGCTTTACTGCACACTTCTTGTAAGTAGCTTACTTTTACAGTATATTGTTACTATGACATTGAAGATATCTCCATGGGAATGTCACTTGGCAAAAATACGATTTGCCATATTCAACAGGTACTTTTTAGTTAAGGTGTCAAAATTGTATAGAAATATACCACACGTTTTTCTATTGTAGTCCGGGCAATATCTTCGCATCTGATAAGAAAAATATTCTGATTCTTATTTTTAGCCTTTTACGAGGGCTGTCCAACATACGGCCCGTGGGCCGCATGCGGCCCGCGAACTCCTTTCTTGCGGCCCGCTTCACATGTATAAATTACTCTCAAATACCGAATATGCACAATTCTTACATTAACTCAGTAATAATGTTGTATAGAAAGATTTTATAATGCGGCCCTCCAAACTGCATTTTGGCCCTTGGCCCACATTAAGTTGGACAGCCCTGTTCTAAACAATTTTTAACCAATTTACAAAAATTGCTTTTTCGCTCCTGTCCTTTTAGATTGTTTGAGAACTTTTCTCTAAAGCTGATGGTTTACAGGATATAAGCGATACAATATTTAAAAAAAGTGCGTAATATGTCATTTTCGACCCCAAAGACAACTATGAAGAAAATTAAAAATTTTATGTCGCCAATGTTTCTGGATTTCCTTCAAAAATTCATCAACAAAATATTTCAGGGAATATTATTATTGTAAACATTTGTTTTTCAATTGTTAATCGAGCATGCGCTCACTGGTTCTCCGCCCATACATGTAGCATCTATCTCGCACTCATGTAGTGCATACACTGAGCGCGCGCTCGATTAACAATAAAAAACCAACGGTTTACGATAACAATACGTCCTGAAATGCTTTGCTAATGGATGTTTGAAGAATATTTGGGGATATTGACAAAATTTTCGTTTTTTTCATACTGTTTTTGGGGTAGAAAGTGACATGTTTCACACTTTTTCAAATAATGTATCGCTTATACTCAAAAACTATTCACTTTAGAGAAAAGCTTCAAGTAACCAATTTTTAAAAAAATCACTGACGCAAATTTGGTCCTGGCAAAATGCAGGTCCCTATAAAAGGGCCAGTTGAATAAAATTATGCAAAAAACAGAATATTTCTCGCATCAGATATTGTCGAACTTTGATATAAACTGTATGTGAATCATATGTTTAATGGGACAGACAAGTATTATGGTTTAGTCATTAAGAACATTCAATAAGTCGAGGAACATGGGAAGTCTTCAAAATCTCACGTATCGTATGCATGTTTCTTCACTCTAAAATCTAGACGGATATTCGGAATCTTTTGCAATTGGAATGAAAACTACTACTCCAATATAGATTTTCAAATGTTTCTTTTTTAGTCATATACAGGGTGTCCGCAAAGTTGGGGTTTTCCTTTACACGACGTGTAGATCTTGAAAACACAAGCAATTTTTCTTAGTACCATATACACCAATGTCTTAAGGGAACCGAGATAAAGGGCTCTGCAACATCAAAAATATCTGAATACCGTCCTGTAGCCGCGACATCCCCGAGTGGTACAAGGACACTAGCTCAACCCGACGACAGAACTGGGTCGGGGTCAGTGTGTCAGGTCAGTATGCAACCTTCAACCGACGGTTACGGTCACGCGTGTAGAGGTAATCGCGTAGACGAGAATCCCTCAACAAGCACTAGAGACGTGGCTAGAGAAGTGCAAGTATCAAAAACTAAAGTGTGGCAATCGCTGCGTGAAGAGGGGATGTATCCGTTTCACGACCAACGTGTACAAGCCCTTCAACCTGACGATTTTCCAGCAAGAGTGCGGTTTTGTGAGTGGTTGTTGCATCAACATGACAATAATCCGGACTTTTTGAAGTGCATATTGGTGACAGACGAATCTACGTTCACGCGTAATGGGGTGAATAACTTTCGCAACACTCATGTTTGGTCAGTAGAAAATCCGCACGCTGTCCGTCGGGCACATTTTCAACAAACATTTTCGGTGAATGTTTGGGCTGGCATGGTAAACGGTATGCTCATTGGACCATTTATTCTCCCAAATCGATTGGACGGGATGCAATACCTAGACTTTTTACGCAACATTTTGCCTTCCTTGTTTGCCTGCGTCGGTAGCGCATCAGCTGATTTCATTTTCTGTTGGAGCGGTATGATTTCGGGCAGAGACGTACTTCGCCCTTCTCGTCAACTGGAGAGTGAGTACTTTTTCCTTTATTTTTTTTTTACTTGGTCGCCCTCGTTTCACTACACATTACCTTTGTTATTTCAAGGGTAGTTAGTTGTTTCTGAAAAGGAAAACCCCAACTTTGCGGACACCCTGTATACGCAGTTGATATTTGATAATACATTTGCGAGACCAAAACTCATCTCAAACACTCGATCTGTTTCCGAGAAATTAAGTTTAACTGTCAAAGCTCCCCATAACACAGAAACGAAAAATATGTCACACACTAACATGAATTTAATCTGCAAGAGTAATCGTATGTTTATAAAGTCAACTTACGCTAATTTAAGCAAGCTTAATCTGAGGCCATATTGCATTGGGGTAATGCCATCATTCTTAGGTTAAATTAGATTAGATTAGAAAATGAGCTATGTTGAGTGACTTTATAACCCGAGCATAAATGTTGGGAAGTAGAGTATATACAAAAATCGGCCGTCCTGGCAAGCGCGTAAAGCACTGTTTCATGATTTTTGCCAATCGTCAGAACGGTCTATGCCTCTAGCTATACTCGGCTACCGAAAAGGAAGGCAGCAGCAAAACACCGCGGCGTCTGAATACCGTGGGATACGCACGCATCGACTTTGTCAATTCATAGCTGTAGCATGCGATGTATTTTGCTGCTTTCTTCCTTTTCGGTACCAGACTATACAACGAAAGCAAAAGCATGTTCTATCAGAGGTATGGGGATGTTCGAGTATTATTAGGTAAGCAGGTTTTTCAAACCATTAACCCCCCTCGCACTGTTTAGCAAAAGTAAGAAAATCTCTGGGTTATACGAATTTTTACCAGGAGCATTTACAGCTAAGGTTCTAGGCGAGTAAATATGTCCATATTTTTTCAATCAACTAATTATTGCAGAAAATCCCAAAAAGTAAAAATAAACATTGCTGACGTAATCATTGTCCAGATCCCCTATCCCTCACGTGAACAAAAATATGCAAAGCGAAGCGCTCCCCCTCCCTTCAGTGCTTACGTAATACTTGAATGGTCTTCAAGTGGCAGTGGAAAATTTAAAAATGGCAGCCTTACAACCCTAGAATCGTGAAGACTTGAGATACGAGGTTAAACTCATGGAGTGGGCGTGAAGCCAAAAATGTCGATAATGTGAGTCGGCGCAATGCGTAGAAAATGAGATTGAGACTCAACTTTGGCAGCCTACCAGTCCATCATTTTGAAAGATAGTGATTTTGTATTCTAGGATTATAGAGTACTCATGCGTAGCTTCAAAAGTAGATATCGCGTGACCTCCAATTCAATTTAAAAGTATTATAAAATTGCGCACAGCTTTTATCTTGAAATTTTCGTCTACCACATTTGCGCTAAAATACAGAGAAATCCATATACAACTGACGTCGTAATGTGTATGTACTACGGAGAAGCCTGTAATACGTATGTTAGGAAGATATAGAAGCGTCACGTTGTCTAGCAACCCGAGTGACGAGGTCAGAGACAGAGCTGAGGCTTGCCGCGTTGCCCCGAAATAATATATGAAAAAGTAAACACTTACCTGATCGGAAGCTGACATGAGGCACTCAACGGCTGCACTACGCTTCAATTGTTCGGCGTCTGCCTGCGAAAGTCTCCACCAGTCTGCGGAAACCTTACGGCAACGTTTGCGATTACTTGCACCTCTCACCTCCTAATATCAAGTACAATGAGTACAGACGCTTCCACACTCAATGACAACTATTAAGAGACTGCACTTCAACCCTTGTCCCTGACACCCGAAAGGTCACAAATATTTACCTGTCTTTGCCAATTAGCTTTATCATTTGTTGGGTACCTCCCCCTTTGGCCAAAAACATATTATTGGCTTGCTTGGAAAATAGGTTGTAAAGGGATATTAAGGCATATTATGTATGCAAAACCAAACGATCTACCATAATTGCTTTCCCAGGACCTTGATAATCCTCTTAAATAGGTAAAGTCTAGCATGCTGAAAATATCCTTTTCACCCACTTCTTGCCATGGCAACAAGTAGTCTAAAGTCCGAATTATAAAGTATGTTTCAGAAAGACGTGCCAATATTTCTATGGTAGAAAGTACATCCAAATATAATTGAAATTGTACTTTGTTTACAACCTTTTTTCGAAACAAGTCAATAATGTGTTTTTGGCCAAAGGCGGAGGTACGATACGGCACTTACGCGATTCTGGCATGGGGTCATTCTCCGCAGATGCCTAGAGATTTAGGTTTGCGGGTAAGATGTGTTAGATACATGTCAAATTTGAGTATCCTTGCAGGAATGAACTCATTGAATTAAATATCATGACAATGCCGTATGTATACATCCATGCTTGCCTCATGAAAGTTAAAACTCACTCTCACAATTACACAACTCATCAAGATACTCATAATTACAGCATAAATAAAAAAAATTGTGTCCAAATCGTCATCACCCTTCCAAAACTAGAAATGGTGTTAACTACCACGGATTAAAATTCTACAACCTATTGCCGATTTAAATAAAATCTCTCGATGTTAGAACAATTTGGAAAAACTATGAAATGCTTTCTACTATCTGAAGCTTTTATTGACGTCGAGGACTTTTTTCAGCCTGGCGTATTTTTTTCGCATTTAGTCACTTTAATAATTTTTTAACAATCTCTATTTATTGTTCATCTAAATTTTAACCTTAGTTTTAACAACTTTATTACTTTTTATTGTCGATTTGTGTTTCATGTTTGTCTTATTTACGTATTATTTGTTGTTTTTACTTTCTTATGTTCTAGTTTAGCAGACTTATGCAAACACATTTTTGTGTAATAGGACCAATTAATTATGATTATTATCAATAGTTCGCTACAATCATTAGGTATTTTGGAGCAAGAATTCCGAACTAGTGAAATATGAAATAAATATAATCTCAATTAGAAACTAAATACTCACGATAATTTGTAACATTGGAAATTTTATTTCTATTACGAGCCACTTCCCACTTCAGTTGGCCCAACTGTTGAAATCTTAGTTTTTTTCTTATCAAACACAAATAATAAAAATGTAGCAGGGTGTTATAGGTTTAAAATATTAACAATTAATATTTTGATAAGATATAGTAGAAAACACCAACTTTATCACTCCCTAATAAAATTTGCAGCATAAAAATAACACATGTTGCAATTACAGCATATCAACCTATTTTCATTTCAATGCAAAATAAGTCTATAATGCATAGGTGGCTGTGAAAAATAAAAGCCATGACAATTGTTTTTATTAATCACAGCTGTCAGAATACGTTTAAAATAGTTTTGGGTAGTTAAGGTTTTCAAAATGGGTAGACGAACGGTTATTAGTGAGAAAATTCAGTTACTGATAATTAAATTTTTTAATGCTGGGAAATCAAACTCAGAAATTGCAACTTTGTTAGACTTATCGCGGTACAGTGTGAGAAATATTGTTAGAAGATATAACGTAACTGGTTCAGTTAATATTAAGCCACGATATGTGAAAAAAAGTAATATCACAAATGCCGACCGAAGAGCATTAAGAAGAATAATCGTGAAAAACAGGCGTGCCAATTAGTTACAATTAAGTGCTCTGTCGAGTGACGCTGTGAGAAGGAGAATTTCGAGGTCCACAACTCATACAGAGGCCCACAAACTGGGATCTAGCACTTGCAAGGTAAGTTTTCTTATAAAAAAAAAGTGAAGTAAAAACCCTAAAGTTGCACAACTTGTTTATAGGCCAAAGAAAAGCCACTATTAACTCCACTGCAAAAGAAAAATCGGCTTAGATCGGCTAAAGAACATAGACAATGAACACCTCAACAATGCTGTGCAATACAATGGAGTGATGAGGCCCGATTCGAAGTTTGTGTTGGTGACAGTCGCAGTAGACTTTTTCGCAAAAAAAATGAAGCATTCCATGTTGACTGTCTGAAGAGAAACGTGAAATTTCCAGCATCCATTATGGTCTGGGGCAGTATGTCATCAAAAGGAGTAGGAAAACTTAATTTTATTGATGGAAATGTGGATACAATTGTGGCAATTATAGAAGAATCGCTTTTACCAGTGATGGAAGAATGTTTGGCATCCGGGCAAGATTTTGTGTTTCAGCAAGATGTTGCAGCGTGCCATACCTCAAAAAAGGCTATAAAATGGATGGAAGAAAATAATGTACCACTTTTGAAATGGGTTTCTAGCAGTCCAGATCTGTCACCTATTGAAACTTTGTGGCACGAGATGAAAAAGGTTCTACGACAACATCCGGCTCGTACAATCACCGAACTGAAACAAAAGCTTCAAGAAATATGGGATTGTTTTACACCAAATTTTTGCCAAAACTTGTTTAACAGTATGCCTCAAAGAATTTCAGCAGTAATAAAAAATAAAGGTGATGTTACCCAATGGTAATATTTCAATTGTTACTTTGTTAACTTCGCGCATTTATTCGCACATTGTTTATTTGTTCAGATGTTCTATTAGTTATATATAGGTCTAAGTGATTTCAAATATGTATGTATTTTTTACGACTAGAGTGTATCTAAAATGTTTTTGAGAAAATAAATTGTTTTAGAAGTAAATAGTTTCGTCATGTTTAGTTTATAAAGGCATATTTTGGTACAAATCTTAAAGTGGGCCAACTGAAGTGGGAAGGGGCTCGTATACAAAGAAGCGTTGATACATGACGAGAAATTTTCAGTATGCACACTCTTTACAAAACTCTTTAAATAAAGGATTATCATCAGAAAACAATAAGAGTAAATCCCTTGGTTTTGAATGCATCATCTGCCTTAATATCAGCTAACTAACGATCTAATTTCCACAGGAGTCAACAAATAATTAAATCAAGTCGATATACAGTAATGGACAAATGTATATAGACAAATATGAATATTTACCTAAATACCTTTATAAAACGAATTCATACTTTATTGCTCCATCAACAAATGCGTTATTAGTAGAAAAACTAAATTCCTTGTTTTTACATTATCTGCAATGAGAACAATACAAGTCTGAATATAACAACTTTTTTATGAGGGACAAAAATATGTAGACAAATTCTTTTAACATTAGTTTACTACAGTTTCGTGTCAGAAGAGAATTATTTTGTGTTCATTAAGTATTGTGGAATAAGTTGGGTGACTTTAAGACCATGCCGCGTGGTCCAGAAATTTCTTTCGATGTGAAAACTAAGATCATTGGGTTATACAAAGATGGTCAACGTCAAGTCGACATTGCCAAAAATTTTAAGCTGAAGCGTAAAGCAATTTAAACAAAAAGGTATCTTGGAAGCATCTAAGAGAAGTGGTCGGCCTAGAAAACTAAATGCTAGATCAGTTAGATTAATAAAAGTAAATTAGTCCAAAGATCAGTTTAAAACCCCAAGACAAATAAAAGCCGAAATCAAGACAAAAGGAATTGCCAGTGTTTCAACGAAAACTATAAGTAGAAAATTAAATGATTTGAAGTTATTTGTAACCGTAAGGACCGGTTACAATTTGCACGGTTGCATCTTGATTGGAGCATATGTGACTGGAAGAGGGTATGTTTCAGTGACGAATCCAAGTTCAATACGTTTGGATCAGATGGTTTTCATTACGTTAGACGTCCTAGTGGACAAAGATTTAACCCCAAGTGCACTTTGCCCACTGTCAAACATGGAGGCGGGTCTGTTATGGTTTGGGGGTGCTTTTCGGGGTTTGGGATGGGACCTTTACATAAAATAGATGGCATTATGGATAAGTTTGCATGCACAGATATACTAAAGCATGTCATGTTACCCTACATGGAAGACAATATGCCCTCAATCTTCCAGCAAGATAATGACCCGAAGCACACTTCATATCTCGCAAAGAAATTCTTTCTGGATGAAAAAATAGCAGTTCACAAATGACCTTCATAGTCTCCCGATATAAACCCCATTGAAAATCTATGGGAATACTTAGATAAGCAAATACGAGATAAAAATTATTCAAACAAGGATGAACTTTTTGCCGCTTTAGAGCAAAAGTGGAGTGATGAATCTTTTATCAAGAAACTTCAACAATCTATGCCGAGACGATGCCAGGCGGTGATTGATAATAATGGTTATGCTACAAAATATTAACACAAACATGGTTGGTTTTCTATAATTCAATGAACTTTGCTTCTTTTTTCTATAATTGTTTTGCTCTGTCAATATATTTTTGTCCTTCATAGTTCCAGTTTTTTTAATTAATTATTTATTGAAGGGAGTCTAATGAATTTATTTATGTATAATTCTATAACGAATTATGTATACAGGTTGGTGTATTAATAAAACAAGTTAAAAAAGAAATACAGCAAAATATTAATTTGTCTATATACTTTTGCCCATTACTGTATGTAACCTTCTTGGGTGTAAATGGTAAGGTTTGAAGTTCCGAGTATAAAAATAAATGAACCGTATTTTATTACCCTGCACTGTTAATACATACGGTACGAGTGCGATGGACATACGCCCCTGTAAAGATTAGAGTTAGGAGAGATAAGCCTTACTTTACCACCTTTTCTTCAAAACCAGGTAGCGGATTGTATTTGGCGAGGATACGCCTAGGGTTCTAGAAGAAGATTAACACGTTTTTCGTCTTGCTTTATGATGGGTTTTCCCAATAAGGACTGGTCAATGTTGAAATGATGAAATAATAGAAATAATAGTACAGTACATTCGAACCTAGTT